CCCCCCCCCCCCCCCCCCCCCCGATTGAACTAACCTCGTTATCTCTAGCCTGACTCACTCTTGCTTGCATATTTATACCTGCCTCTGGAAATTTCCACTACATGCATCCGACGAAAGTGGGTATTCACCCACGAAAGCTCATGCTCCAATACATCTGTTAGTCTATAAGGTGCCACAGGACTCTTTGCTGCTTTTACAGATCCAGACTAACACGGCTACCCCTCTAATATATGTAAATTAAGCATTTGACTGGTCAGCACTGAACTTACTTCTAACAGGAGTGAACTGTGACATCAACTAGTAACTCTGGCCAACGCAAAAATAGATGTTTTTATTTTAAACAGTTAAATGAACAGATTTCATTCACTCCCCCCTGGGAAGTAATCTGAACACCCAGTGCACCAGCGGGAGCAGCTGCACCTTTCAGAATCAGGCTTTAAGAGATTTGCCCAAAGTCACAAAGCAAGTCTGTGGCAAAACTGCAATTACAGTCCAGATCTCCTGACTTCCAATCTTGTGTTCTAATGAAACCACGCTTACAGAGATTGTAATATTTTATTATAAAACACAACACTCTTTGGAGCTTGGCAGAGAACAGTTTGTTTAACCTGTGGAGTTTCTGGGTATGTCTACTTCTGGAGCTGCAGGTGTGATTCCCAGCTTGAGAAGACATACCCACGTTAGCTCTGATGAAACTAACAGCTAAACATATAATATAGCTGCAGTAGTGCGAGCCACTGGACGGGCTAGCCACCCCCTAAGGTCTTGGATGGGCATGTACTCGGGGCAGCTAGCTTCTCTTGCCACTTGTGCTTCCATGTGTACACTCTATTTTTAGCATGTAGGCTCACTGAGCACTAATGCAAGAATGTCTCTTCGAACTGGGAATCAAACTCCCAGCTTGAAGTGCAGATACATCCTTTTGTTTGTTTGCAATTCCAATCACAGCATAAAGTTTACAGCTGTGGCATACTGACTATAGGTAGCATGCTGCTGATCTAAACTGATGTACACTCCTTTGGCCACTTGGGAGTGCCATTAAATTAAAAACAGCTACAGCACACAAAACCGTACCATAAAATGCATAGTTCTGTTCACCTATTCTTATTGCAAGCAGAATTCAAAACTGTCTATATGGTTAAGGTGCCTGTTTTTTCAGCCCTTGCATTTATAGGGTGAAACTTTGCATTCAAGGTTCAGCCCCTAACTTCAAGAGAGAGGCATCTGGGCACACATTTACTCACTTTCATGATAACTGTTGATCCCCTCCCACCCCATTTTAGTTATGTTTGTTTCATAGATGAGGTAAAAATAAAAACTAAGTGGGCAAGTTTTAACTATTTAATTATGAGTGTCAAGGCAAAAAGAAAACTAGGTTTGCAAACAAGTACTTTGTGGAGATAAAAACAGTAACTGGAAATCTACTGTGAATTTTCAAAACAAATCCCTGAAAGCACTTTGGGTGACCTTGGGCAACTACTTTCTAAACCTGTTCTAGAGCCTGATCCAAAGCCCACTGAGGTCAATGGAAAGACACCCATCGATTTCATGGAAAGATCATGCGTCTGACGAAGTGGGTATTCACCCACGAAAGCTTATGCTCCAACACGTCTGTTAGTCTATAAGACTTACATTGCTTGTGTTACTTCACCTCCCGCAAAATGAGGATTAATTTTAAAGGTGACTTACAACAACAACTACTAAATCAATTAGGGTCATGCCTTTTATTGCTTTTTTAGTATGTTACAGCCCTCCTTCCCCACGGGGCTGGGGCTCACTGGGACAGGGGTTACAGCCTCCCTCCACCACGGGGCTGGGGCTCAGGGGGGGCGCAGGGGTTACAGCCCCCCCCCCCGGGGGCTCAGGGTGGGGGCGGGGGTTACAGCCCCTCCCCCGCACGGGGCTCGTGCGCAGAGTGGGGGCGGGGGTTACACCCCTGCGCCCGCTCCACACCGGACTCACCGCAGCAGCTCGGCGCAGTACTGCACCTCTCCCCCGGGGCCGGGCCGGCTGGAGGCTGGCGCCGCACTCACTCCCCAGACCGCCGGCCGCACGAGCCGCCCGCGGGCATTTGGTCCCAGCAGCTGCCGGGAACAGGGCCTGTAGCGCGCTCCGCAGCTCAGTGCCATGGCGGCCGCCATGCTGCCTGGTGCACCGCCCCTCCTGTCAATCACCCCCTGCCTGCAGTGCCGGTCTGGGCCTCCGCCCGGTCTCTGAGACCGGTAATGTAAACAACTGCTTCTGGTGTGATTTGCTACCGGTAACAGTTACTGATACAAAGTTGTTCTTATTTGCTGACTTGTCCTAATTTGCTACCTTCTCACCTTTCCCGTCCTCTAATCCTGGGATAGACAGCAAATTGTGAGCGATCGGGGTACATCTGCCTATTTTGTCCACCACTGGCTACACTAACTTTCTTTTATGTGCAACAAAGCGTGTCTAAAGAAAAAATTTGACATTGGTGTGGGATGGAAGCATAAAGTCTTCAGCTTTCAAACAACCCTGCCTCCTGTACCAATGTATCAATTACCTCTTAATAGAGTGAGGTCATTTAAACATCATGTATTATGCAGCTTATACATATTTTCGATTAGTATGTTATTAAAATATAAATTAAATAGTACAATGACATGCATCTGCTCAATGATAACAAAGGTAAATGATGAAGTGCTAAGAGTAATGAAAATAACATTTTAAAAAGTAATCAATTGAAAGGAGCAAAAGTATATTTAAAATAGATTACAAGGAAGGGAGCGGCAATTCAGAGAATCCCAGCAGCAGATAAGACAAATTTGTAAACTGCTATGAGACTTTAAAAACAACAAGGAGTCTGGTGGCACCTTAAAGACTAACAGATTTATTTGGGCATAAGCTTTCATGGGTAAAAACCTCACTTCTTTGGATGCATAGAGTGAAAGTTACAGATGCAGGCATTATACCCCCGATACTATGGGACTTTATGCAGTCATATAAACTGATGAGCAATTCTTTGTTTCTGAGAGGATATATGTAAAATATTTCCCTGAATTAAGTCTCCCGCAGTGCCTCAGTAGATTATATCAGATAGGAAGGAGCTGAGGTGACTAGGCATTGGGATGCCCAGCCCTGAGAAGCCCATGCTGAGATGGACTGTCCTGTAGGACGGGAAATAAAAGAGCCCCTCTGACCAAATAAAAAAAAATCTGCCCCCACTTTCCCCCACCCTATTTTTGCAAACACTGGTGTCTCAGTCCACAGGGGTATAGCTGTTACCCTGTGCAGTGTTTTGCCCTCTGGCAGCCTCTGACCCCTGAGCTTAACTCCAGCTCCCTGATTTTGCCTCTCCTCAGCCCCTATCCTAACCCTGCCTGCAGCTGCTTGAACTCCCCCAGCCAGTCCATTTCCATCTCCTGCTCAGACCCTGGCCGCCACCCCCCTCCAATGTGTCCCCTTTGCCCCTTTTTAAGCCAAAAAGCTGTCCGCAGAATCTGATGCCAAGTAGGGGCAGGGTGAAGGGCAGTTGCTTCAGCGGATATTACTGAGCGTGCTCAGTTCACCCTAAATAGCGAGTCAGACAGCAGTTTTTCACACTACACCTGTCAGGTTGCCAGGGCATTGGGCATCTGTGTCTCTCTTCTCCACTTGCCCCTAGCTCCCGCCCCGGGAGCTCACAGGCTGGATACCAATTGTAGGGCTGCTGAGAGCACAGGGCAAGCCTGCTCCCTGACCTGTCACTTACACATCACCCACCTCCCCTGCCCCACTGCCAAGAGGAATATACATGCTACCTAGGCATTTAGTTCAATGGAAGTTCTCCGCACCTGTATCCAGATGCTCAGCCCTTACCTACTGCTTCTAACATCTTCCAAGTGCTAAATAAGCTAATTCTTACATCCTCCATGAGCTCTGTGTGACTTGGAAGCTTGTCTCTCTCTCACCAACAGAAGTTGGTCCACTAAACCAGGGGTTCTCAACCTTTTTCTTGCTGAGATCTCCCCCTAACATGTTATAAAAACTCCAGGACCCAGCGGGGGTGGGGGCTCTGGGCCGGGAGGGGACCCTGGGGCATAGGTACAGTTTGACTTCTATTGGGGGGGGGGCACAAAGGCTGATGGGGCTTGGGCCAGCTCCGTACAACGGGCTCCAGGGAGTGAGTGCTACCTCCATCCCGACTCACCTCAGCAGGTCACCCAGCTGGTCTGCGTTGTGCGGGGCCGTAACCAAAAAATATAACTCAAAGATGGGACTCAGCTCAAAAAGTTTGAAAACCGCTCAGGGTGCAGGCAGGAAATAGCTAGGGGGGGGTGTGATGGCAGGGGGGTAGCTCAGGATGCAGGGAGGGGGAAGCTAGGGGCTGTGTGCAGGCAGGGGAGTAGCTCAGGGTACAGGCAGGAGGTAACTAGGGGCTATGTGCAGGCAGGGAGGTAGCTCAGAGTGCAGGGAGGGAGTAGCTAGGGGCTGTGTGCAGGAGGGCTCCCCCTGTGGTGGCTGCTCCCCGAGGGCTCTGCTGGCCCAAGCCGGGTTTCCCTGTCCGGGAAGCTCTTACCGGCTGTGTGAGCAGTTAAAGTGCTGGGAGCTGAGGAGCAGCTGCAACCCTGAGCACCAGCAGCAGATGGGGGAATGCCACAGCTGCCCACTCCATGACACCATCAGCCAGAGGAGCAGCTGCCCCGCACTGCCTGGCTCTGGCTTCCCACCTACAACCTGGCCAGAGAACTGGGCCTGAGGAGGGCTGGGGGAGACATGGAGGTGTGGGAGGGTGGAGCTGCCCCCGGATTGCCCCACTCTGGGTAAGGGACTGCAGTTTGGGGGGCCAACACCATTCCTGGCTTTGGGGGGAAGAGCAGGCTTCAGCACTGCGCCGCTCCCAGCTTCAGCCCCACGGGTGTGTGTGTGTGTGCCAGGGCTTGGGGCACCTGGTTTCAACTGCAGGGCCCCGTGGCCCTGCTGAAAGGGCTCGGGGTTCCACAGACCCCCAGTTGAGAACTGCTACACTAAATAATATCATCTCACCCTCTTTGTCTCTAATCCCCCATGAGGGTAAGGGAATCATTACCCCCATTGTACAGAAGGGGAAGCTGAGACAGAGAACTTAAGAGAATTGGGAGGTGGGGGAGTATTCACTAACCTCATGTACCTTGAATCAAGTTCTAGGTCTTAGTCTTTATTTTCAAAGCACTCCATGACCTGTGTCCACAACATCTAAAAGATCATCTAAAATTCTGGGCTGAAGACTGTAGTTGATATACTTGTCTGGCACAGTGGACCTCTCTACAATAAGAGTAAAGCTCATCTGTGTAGGAGACAGAATTCTCTCCAGGGGCAGTCCAGAACTGTGGCATGAACTCCCCAGGAGCTAAGGACCATCACAAACCTCACCACCTTTCACTCCAAGTGCAAGTTCTTTTCTTTGATCTTGCCTTCTCTCATATAAACACATAGCAACAGATGTGTGTGTATATATCTATATCTACATATCTAAAAAGAAGACAACACACTCCTACAAGAAGCTTCTCTACAGATTCCTCGCCCTCTGGGGAAAGGATGAGAGACTAAACAATGTGTGATAGATGTGTATTCAGGCGGCTTAATGCACTACTGGAAGGTGCTCAGATGCTACAGGGATGAGCATGGTATTAAAACCTATGTAGAATAGAAGAGTTTTCAGTTGCTCAGTTTGAGGCACATTGGGCCTGCTGTTCACAAGTGTAGAGTGTTACCAGCGAGCTCTATCAGTGTGTAAGTAGAGAATAGATAAGGTGCCAGTAGATGGCACTCAAGAATATGTAGCACAGATCTTGTAAAAATCATCAAATGTGTGCACTGTAAATGGTTTCCTTTGTGCAGCTCTTTGTCAGCTCCCAAAAGTGGGTACTCACAGTTCTCAGTGCTCACAACTCTCACAATTTGATTGTTAATCTAGCAATTTTGGTGGCGATGGTGGTTTGGTTTTTTACCTGTCCCATGAAAATATAGTGAAGGGCTGCCAACGCTCGAATTTTCCCTTATTAAAAATGGCCGCCATCTCCTATTACTGCTAATGGGGCTGAAGCACGTAAGATGGCTGCCATTTCCCTACAGTCTATCTACATCGGGAGTGAGGCTGCCCGTAATAAAGCTGGCTGCCACCTGCCGCTGTTTTCAGTGAGGTTGAAGCCTGCCCTCAGGCACCATAGCTGTGCCACACCATGGTCCAGGGGGCTAGACGGGACATGCCAGGAACTGTGAGGAGCAACAGCGACACTGTGAAAGGTGAGTGGGGAGCAGGAGGGTTGTGGAGGTAGGTGTGGGGGGCTGCAAAGGATAGTGACGGGGTAGGAGATGGAGAGGGTAGAATGGCTGCTTCCCCAGCTGGGGGTACTGGTGGGTGAGAAAAATGCCCTCCAAGCAGCCGCCGCAGTGTTGCCAGCTCTCACGAAGTGAGCGTGCATCACGGATTTTGCCGCCTGCAGGAGGAGCTGTTACAACGACACAAAAAGCAACTCTGGTCCCACCATTTGCAGGGCTGGGAATGAAGACAGAGCTCTGTGCAAGAGCCTCTGGGCTAAGGACATGACAGCAGCTTTGCCACTAGGCCCTACCTTCAGGTATGGCCCTAGAGCACAAAGGAGGTCCTGGGGCAGCGGAGGAAGGAGTTGGGGGGGCGGGAAGCTGTTGCTGGGCGCCAGGCAGAGAAGACCCAAGGGAGTGAGGAGTCAAAAAAGTGGTGCCATTGGGTCCCAGATAAATAAGTGCCAGGGCAGCAGGAGGCAAAGAAATGTTGCTGAGAAGGTCAGGAAGACAGTACTAGGAAATGCATGGCCTCCCTTACCTCAGGGGTGGGGAGAGATAAGTGAAGTCTCCATCTGGGCTGTCAAGAAGTGGTGTGCATTTCTGTATGCATTAAAGGTTGACTTTTCAACCTGAAATTATCAAACATGCATTGGCAGAATAGAGGGGAGTTAAAAAGTCTAAAGACAGACTGAAAACATGATTTTATTAAAAAAAAAAGATATGGGGGGGTGGGAGGTCTGACTCATTAATTTTTATCTCTTGCAGTTAGCAATATCGAGTTCTATTTGAAGTCAATGGGAGCTGGGGTCCTCAGCAAGTCTAAAATTTTGTCCCTTTGTGTTTGAGATTGGGCACACAAAAACAGAGACAACATTTTTAGCCACTTTTGAAAATTTTTCGGTATGTGATTTGTTCA